TATCAGACATAGTTTGCATTATTAAATAGACTGTTGAATTGCATATACTAATATCTGAGTATGCATATGCACACGAGATAAGCTATTTAATTGTATATAGATTAAATTATAGGAGAATGCTACCATCCCGTAACGGGATGGTTCCGTTGTGTTTTCTAGCCATAGATATACATGTAATCTAGTGATGAGTAGTTAATCCAACGCTTAAAAACACAACGGAACCATCCCGTAACGGGATGATAGCATTCTCCTAAATTATATATAGTAGAAAGAGTTGACATTTTAAGGGCATATACTCATTAAATGCCGGGGCTTATTCTGGCGCCCTTTCTATGCTTCTTCAAATAACGACTCACCATGTGACCCTTTATATATATGAGCTCCGATATCGATCGTTTAATTCAACCCCCTCCGACATTTCTCATTCTCGTCAAGATCATCGTCTGAACTCCAGCATCGATCAGGTACGGAGATTTTTCTTACGAGGTTCTTGTCATTTGTTGATCGATCGACATAGCTAAGGCGAGTATCAGAATTAATTCCCTAGAAAATTATGGTAGAAATAGAATTATTCAATATATGTTTTATTCATGTAAAAGATATTATTATTATTAATATTGTTTGTTTTTTTTTTTCTTTTGGGCAGGAGTTGTTAACTATGTTTAGCATTTCATCTTGTGTGTGAATGTGATAAGAGCAGTATGAAAATGCTGTCTATAAAAATAATGGTATCTTGTGAACGTGATATGTTTGACTTTTGGTAATGATTGTTAAAACAGAAAATTCAAACGGCTACGTATTTCATTGAAATTAGTACATTTTTTTAATGTTTCCAACAAATCTTCGTTGATTTTTGAGTAATAAATAGGCCCAATAAGTGATGGCCACCATTAAAAACCCATCAATTATTTAGGTCGTGAGCAAGGTTATATTATATTAATTTGGTCAACTAATTTGCTTGTGAGCAAGATTGTTTGGTCCTTATTATTTGCAGTAGAAGCATCAACCACACAGCCCATTTTTTTCTCGTTGTTTAGAAGAGTCATAGTAGCTGAAAAGGCCCAAACTAAAACAAGAAAATTAACAGGCATGGCCAGAGATCAGCTAGAGGTGCTGAATGCGCTGGACGTGGCCAAGACCCAGCTGTACCACTTCACGGCCATCGTGATTGCGGGCATGGGCTTCTTCACAGACGCCTACGACCTCTTCAGCATCTCCCTCGTCTCCAGGCTCCTCGGCCGCATCTACTACACCAAGCACGGCGCCCCAAAACCCGGAACTCTCCCCCCGGCCGTCTCGTCCTCCGTCACCGGCGTCGCCCTCGTCGGCACCCTCGCCGGCCAGCTCTTCTTCGGTTGGCTCGGCGACAAGATGGGCCGCAAGCGCGTCTATGGCCTTACCCTAATCCTCATGGTCGTCTCCTCCGTGGCCTCCGGCCTCTCCTTCGGGTCCTCCCCACGGGGCGTCATGGCCACACTTTGCTTCTTCCGATTCTGGCTCGGCTTCGGCATCGGGGGCGACTACCCCCTCTCTGCCACCATCATGTCCGAGTACGCCAACAAGAAGACCCGCGGGGCCTTCATAGCCGCCGTCTTCGCCATGCAGGGCTTCGGCATCCTCTTTAGCGGCGTCCTCTCTCTCGTAGTGGCCGCCGCCTTCGACTCCAGGTTCCCGGCCCCCGCGTACCAAGACAACGCCCCCGGGTCCCTCGTCCCCGAGGCCGACTACGTCTGGCGGATCATTCTCATGTTCGGGGCGCTCCCCGCGGCCCTGACCTTCTACTGGCGCATGAAGATGCCCGAGACCGCACGCTACACGGCACTGGTCGCCAGGAACGCGAAGCAGGCGGCCCAGGACATGTCCAAGGTGCTCAACGTCGAGCTCGAGGCCGAGGTCAACGAAATCACCACCAACAACTTCGGGCTCTTCTCCCGGGAGTTTGTCAGGCGGCACGGGCTCCACCTGTTCGGGACCACGTCCACGTGGTTCCTCCTAGACATCGCGTTCTACAGCCAGAACCTATTCCAGAAAGACGTGCTCACGGGAGTGGGCTGGATTCCGCCGGCCAAGACGATGAATGCGGTGCACGAGGTGTACCGGGTGGCGCGGGCCCAGACGCTGATCGCTCTCTGCGGGACCGTGCCGGGCTACTGGTTCACAGTGGCATTCATCGACAAAATAGGCCGATTCGCAATCCAGCTGATGGGCTTCTTCTTCATGACGGTGTTCATGTTCGCGATAGCCATACCTTACGACCACTGGAGGGAGAGGTCGCACATCGGGTTTGTGGTCATGTACGGGCTCACATTCTTCTTCGCCAACTTCGGGCCGAACGCGACCACGTTCGTGGTCCCTGCTGAGATCTTCCCGGCCCGGTTGAGGTCGACTTGCCACGGGATATCGGCAGCTGCCGGGAAGGCCGGAGCAATTGTGGGGGCATATGGGTTTCTGTACGCGGCACAGAATACGGACAAGACGAAGACGGACGCGGGTTATCCGCCGGGTATCGGGATCAAGAACTCGTTAATAGTTCTGGGAGTTATTAATGCGATCGGGATGCTTTGCACGTTTGCGGTGCCGGAGGCCAAGGGTAAGTCGCTGGAGGAGGCGTCGCAGGAGAACGTGGAGGAGAGTAATGTGGTTGAAGGGGCTTGATAATTGATATGTTTGTCAAGTTCACGTTCACTATACTCAAGTGTGAGATTATTTGTTTCTTTGTTATTTTATAGTTGTTGTTTGTGATTTTCTTGGTCAATAAAATTGTTGACAAGTACTTGGGAATTCGAATTCCGGGACCGGTAATTGCATATACAGTGTTGTTTGTGTTTTTGTTATTTTATTGGGAAATGCTACGATCCCGTTACGGAACTATTCCGTGAGAATTTGTAACCGTTAGATCATCAGGTAACTGTCAGATATAGTTGATCTAACGATTATATACCCCGACCAAATAGTTCCCTAACGGACCGTAGCATCTCTCTTTTTTATTTTACTCAAAGGTCACAAGTTTTTGTTCATTAATGTATTTGTTGTTATCTATAATGTACAGTGTTATTTTATTGTGAAGAACATATATTTATCGTATAACTATCCTTTAAATACAAAAACGTATCATCACAACCTTAACATTTATCATAAATTTTTCGAATTAAATTGTTCTTATTCTTCAAAGTGTTCTTCACACATTCTTCTTCGACTTCTTTTTTCTTCGTCCTTTACCGATTTCTCCCTCTTTTCATCACCATTGAATCCCAGAACAACATTACCAATCTATTTATGTTTCAACGATTAATGATGGCCAATCGGACGATACATTTGTTACAGACGTTTCAGTCGCTCTCACGATTAATCCAGGTATATTTGGAATGCAGCCTGCGTCTTGGTGATTTGTTACTCGAAATTTAAACACAAGGACACTGTATGAAGAAATATAGAAAATTCGATTCCTTTATTTTGAAATTGTTGTGTTATTTTGTTATTTAATTCCCTATCCTTGCCCTTGCGTTCGTGTGTTGATTATATATTTATGTTAAAAAGTTTTCTTTGTGCATCTTTTGTTTTGGTGTAATCAATTGTTCTGAATAACGATTTTGATGTGATGAAGTGGACTTGTTAACTGATGATATACATTGTATTTTGGTGAATCCTTAATAAGCACATTACATCCTTAATAAGCACATTGGGCATGGAATGATCAAACGGTGAAAACAATGGATCAATGACCTATTATGTGTGTTGTTAAGACGTTTCGGCGTATTTGAGAGCATGGACCATGAGTCGTGTTGATACCCAATCTGGCGCCGATATAAGAAAGCTGCATGTGACACTTAAACCACCATACATTGATCCCTAAAAACCCAGATTATGATGAGATTAGTCGGTTCCATCCAACGATTCGAACCCTGAGAAGGTCATTATACAACACCGAAGGACATACAACCACACTCGGAGTCTAAACTCAAAAACACGTGAACAACACCCAAAGAAAGAAGGCAGATAACAACGAATAAGACACTCGGATCGTGAAGACATAAGAAGACGGTTAGACCTCTACAAGGTCGGACCCTGACAGAGCATTAAATGCAGACAAGACACGTGTCAGTAACCGGATGGACTAGCAATCGACTGACATGGGACTCATTGGGCGGTTCTACACTAAATAATCATAACAGTAACGTGCCAACCTCGACAAACATGTCCGTGGGTTTCGTGGTACAAATACCCACAATAATTGTACAAGAGAGAGAGATGCAACTTTTGCTGTACAATTAAACTCTGAAAGCAAGGACTAAGGGTACTCCATTCCAAGAGAGATGCAACCTTTGCCATTCACGATGAAAGCAGACTAAGTTTGAAAAATTCAACCCCCAAACTCCTCTTTAAAGCAAGCCTATCGAAATATACCACGAGACATGAGATTTTCAGACAGGGTACTATATTCCATGAGAGTTTCAGATAGAGCATAAACAACAAAATACCCAGCAAATAAACTGAAGTAAGGAAGTTTTTGGTTACGTGTTAAGAAAAAAGAACAGACAATCAAAACTCTTATCTTGACAAGGTAAGATTGTTTTCTACAGCCGAAAATAAACATGTCCTTTGTGAAGAACACGAGTAAAAGTATGACACTGAAAAAAAAAACAAAGGTTTAACAAAAGATGTAACAAACTTATCTACAAGAGAACCAACTCGCGCATGCCACTGCCGTAACTCTCATCCACTTGTGTCTACACAGCGACAGACTAAATTATGAGCTTTTGTTCTCATCACTAATCCGATTTGCCAAATTCTGCCCTCCTGATTGTACAAGAGAAGAAAACAGTAAGCATTCTCAAGTTCATCTGATTTCAAGATTCAACATTTGTGCAACTACTTCAAAGCAAAAGAAAATAAAAACCTTAAAATTGTTGCAGGCATGCCCTCTTGAGGGTCGAAGTTGGATTCATGTGCATGTGCGTGTGCGTGTGCGTGTGCGTGTGCGTGTGTAGTTAGGTTTGAATGTCAGGGGTAGCTTATATACTTGACCCTTATAAACTAACTAACCACAAACGAGCTTTTCAGTTGCACCATCTTACCATTTTCCCTCGACATCTCATCCTGCCCAATCTCGTCTTGCCACCTGCGCTTGACACCGAATGACTCGCAATCCGTACAGAGCTCGGCCGTTGACATCAGAGAAGAATTCTCCGGGACACAAAGTGAAATTCGACTGCTACCATCCGTCATTTGTTGTTCCTTATTCGAATAAGATTCAGCTGTTGAGCACAAGTCATCATCATTCACTTTCCTAACCCTGGCCCCATTTTCACGACCGACCCCCAATTTATCCTCCTCACAATCATCTCCGGACTTTGGTCTTTTTCTATTCTGAACCGCATTTTCCGATTTCCTCACCGACGGCACCATCTGGTCACGGGACGAGCTTGCAGGGCATTGTTCTTTTTCCTTAACAGCTTCATTAATGTTATTAGTGTCCCCATTGTCAACCACAACTTCACCTGTGCAATTGGTGTTTGCGGCATTTTCCATCGACTCTTTTTCGTGCATGATGGATATGGCCTCGGTTAACTTATCTCTTGCTAAATCCATGTCGATTATGGGTTTGGGGTAGTTTATGCCCAAGTCAACACCCGAGGATTTGAGAACAGTGAGAGGGGCGTCCCACGGGTGGTGGATCCACTCGGCTGGCATCCGAGCCAGTTCGGGCAGCCACTGTCGGACGTAGTCACCTTCTGCGTCAAAATTAAATCCCTGAATCTGGATCACAAAGTATGGAGCAAATCATTAATTTGAATTTATACGATAAAGAGTGTTTGTAAAAAGACTTGCTTTTGGTGGAAATGATTTATTGAAAATATTTATGCAAATGATTGAAAATTATAAGGTGATGGTGATTGAAAACTAACATACCTGTGGACTATCCATACGTTGAAGCTGATGTCCGTCGGGCAAACTCCCGGAGATATACTGCCATCCAAGAATATCACTCTCCAAGTCGGCATCTAAGAGCGTGTCCCAAAAATATTTCATCCCCCACTGCCATGGCAAACGCAAGAACTTGACGAAAAAACTGGAGACAATTACCCTCACCTTATTGTGGATCCAGCCTGTGGCCCACAGCTCCCTCATGCCTGCATCCACCAGTGGGTACCCCGTCCGCCCCTGCCTCCATGCCTTGAACCGCCCCTCGTCTGCCTCCCACGGGAAGAACCTCAGGCCACCCAGCAGAGGCCTCTCATGGGCGCACGGGAAATTGAAGCACACGTAGCGGGAGTACTCTCGGAGACCAATGGTTCTAAGGAAGAGTGACGCGCTTTGTTCCCCGAGCGGGTCGTGCTCGTTTTTCCAGATGATTTGCTTGGTGCGGACATGTTGGAAGACTTTGCGGATGCTGAGCTCGCCAAAGTGGAGGTATGGAGAGAGGAGGGAAGTGAAGTTGCCTCCCACCTTGAGACGATCCTTTGCATAGTTGAGCAGATGGCGGTCAATGAACTCCGTAAAAGCCTTGTTCGCGTGGGCCCAGCCTGGGGACCACCCCCTTCCTAGTAAGGCGTTGCTCGACTTTTCCGACTCTTTTTCCAGACCCAATGCCTCAATTGTGGTACAGTTAATGTCTCCTGTCAAAAACACAAATATCACCTCTATTTATGATTTGAAGTGAAGATAAAAAAAAAAAAAAAAAAGTCGAGTTTTTATGTCTATTACTGCAATAACTTCTCTGAAAGCATAAGCTTCGCAAACAATCCAAGATAAACGCAAACAAGTTGGCATCGAAAACTTGTTGAGATTCTCATTTTATCAGAAATACCTTCAGCTGGAATCAGACGCCAAGGCGGGAGATGGCCAACAGGTTCTCTTTCGAGGCTCAAGCTTCTTTCCCAATAAGCATTGAATGTCGTAAAAGCTTGCTCGTTATCATCATAAATCTCCCATGGCTCAAACAAAAGGTCACCATTAAAGCTCTGCACGCTAATGCCAACCTCGCACAGCTTTTGCTTAATATTGTGGTCCCGAACAAGTGAAACAGGGTCTGCAAAGGAAGATAAAGAATTTCGACTAGAGCTATCCAAAATAACCAGGCTGAAAGAGCTTAACTATAGACACAAGCAAAGAAAATAACAAACAGAGATCTTGAGTCGCTGAGAAATTTGGTAATAATTCAATACATTGCCAACCTTAATGCTACGGCTAATATGAACATCTCGCAACCGCCGTAAATTACTTTTAAAATCTAAAAAATCGATAAATTACCGAACAAGATAGTAGCAATTATATTTTAAAATTACATTTCCCCCCACTCGTTTGTTTCTATTTATAATTTAAACCTCTTAAGAAAGGGCTAGTATGTTGGGAAATCTTTTATTTGAGCTTTTCGCAATTAGCCTAAACCTCAGAAATTGTTTGCATAGGTTCCTTAAAGAATAATGTTGAACTATCTGTTATAAACTGCTAACAAGTGATTATTCTTTCAGGATCCATCATAAACATTATAATCCATCCACATTACTTATTTCTTAAGATGTAATAACCAACAAAAGCTAAAAACAAATTGGTGGTGAAAGAAAGAGCATACCATAGAGATGATTATAGACGACTTTTGTGGCCCCAACAGCTTTAGCACAGTCTAAAAGGGCAGACAGAGTGCTATCGGCTCTGATCGAAACCAATTCTGCCCCGAGAGACTTTAACGACTGCTGTAGGTGGATAAGTGATTGCTTAAGCCACCACCGCGAAACCCGGCCCGGGTAAAACTGGCCTTCTTCTTCAGGACACCATATGAAAACAGGCAGTACTTTCCCATCCTTAGCAGCATTTGCTAAAGCTGGGTTGTCTTCTATCCTTAAATCCCTCCTAAACCAAACTATGCTTGTGCAGCTATTTTCCATTTCTCACAATATTCTTAATTTATTTTCCTTCTCCTTTCCACAATAGACTGCAAAAGTTTTCTTTACACCCTCTCCTGAATTGTGGGAGAAGAAATGAAGAAAATCATATATCTATAATTGCAATCAAGTACACCCTCTTCTACAAATTAACAAAGAAGCACAGAAGTCCAAAGACTGAAACTTTGTTTATGAGTGATGCAAGAACTCAACAAAGAGATACTACCACAGCTTAATCAAGAAACCCCAATTAAATGTATTGAGAGAGAGAGAGAGAGAGAGAGAGAGAGAGAGAGATTTTGTACATACCTCAGACATATTTTCTTGAAGCAGTGATGTTTTAGAGAGAAGCCCAGATAAAGAAACGAGAAAAACAACAAAAAACCATTGTTTTTTTTTTTTTAATTCAATAGATGTGAAGCATCGATTTTAGAGAGAAGCCCAGATGAAGAAGAAACGAGGAAAGCTAAAATGCCATTGTTTCAACATTCAGTAGATATGAAGAGATCTGTGAGATTGAAGAATTTAGACTGCTTCTTGTGACCAAGTTGTGTGGATTTTCCAAGACAAACTACCTACTACTCTTCAATATAAAAAGGGAAACCCGGTCTCGTTTCGAAATCATTTTGTCGGGATTTGTAATCATTAAATCAACTTTTTCGGAAGAGACATGTGAAATGAAACTTTTATGTGAGATGACGACCAATAAAATTTGTGCATGCCGGCCGACGCGAGTGAACTTATTATCATTGGTGAACAAGAACATAAACATTTTTTACCACAAGGAAAGTAGATAAGAAATTTGGTAAGTACTGTGAAACAGATCCCATGTCTGGGGCCCACCAGCTGTGATGGCCAACGCTGTTCCTTATCCTAACAGAACCATTTATTTATGTAAAAGATACCATCTTACTCCATTTCGAGTTTGATGATTCAAAAAATTATTACAAAAGTCAAAAACCTATGACTCCAAGTTATTATTTTGTATAAAACCAGATTATAAAAAATTATTCATGTCATCAACTTTTGAAAGAGTTTTACTAATTTGTTGTTCAATTATATTGTCATGAACTATTTAATGATGAGTTGGATGACATTTAATGTTGACAGTTGTTATGAACTTTGAAGCTGAAGAGAAGAATTGCGGGTTTGGATCTGATGAGCTCGACAAGGGAAAAGGTGAAGTCTTGGGATATGCAGAGTTTGGAGAAATCTGTCTTAATTCGCACAGTACAAGTGAAGAAGATAAGTTGATTATGGGCGAGTTGGATAGTGGGCCAATTTAATGTACAAGTGGGCCGCAGGAAGTTAAATTACTTTATTATTTAATATTTAGTTGTTGGTCTCAGGCTAGTGTTATGGCCCAAATTGATACCTAAGTAATTGTGATGGCCCATGGCCTTATTATAAATATGAGAGAAACTACGCACATGGCCAAGTTTTGGCAGTAACACTCTCTTGTCTTTTTCCTCTCAATTCTCCTCCTCTCTCCCTATCTCTGCAATTTCCCCCATTTCTTCCTCAACAATTCAGCTTGTTAATTCTTCAAAATTCATCAATTATAACTCACAGAAAAATACAAAAAACAATAATAGAAAAACCCATTTCATAACATTTGGTATCAGAGCTTGAGGTCCTTGGAATATGGCCGAAGGCACCCGATTCAAAGAACTGCAAGAAAATCAGAAAAAAAATGGATCAAACCTTGCAAGAAGCACAAAAAAAAATGGATCAAAGTCTACAAATGGAAGCTATGAAACGAGAAGCCTCAGAATTAAAGTTGCAAGAAAAATTAGCACACATCAGTGCAGAGGTAAAGGATCAGGTGGGTGACATCAACAACACCATGAATAGTAAGTATGATCATCTTGCAAACATCCTTGCCTCTATTCAGCTGCAACTTTTGAATCCAGACAAAAGACCCATGGAGGAAACTTCTATTCTGGGAGATGGCTCCTCCTCTAGGTTTTCCCAGAGTGATAAACAAAAAATTAAGTGGGGAAATCCAACACCCCACGTTATCAGCCCTCTACCCAAGGTTGATTTTCCTAAATTTGATGGTACCCAACCCAAATCCTGGATTCTCAAATGCAGCAGCTATTTCAAACTAATACCAAACATTCCAGATACACAGAAGGTCACATTAGCTGCTATGCACTTTGAGGGCAAAGCTTCCTTATGGTATCAAAATTCAATGGCTCATCAAGAAAAAATTGAATGGGAACACTTTCTGGAATTAGTCTCAGCGAGGTTTGAAGACTTAAAAGAAACCAAGGTGATTGCAGAGTTCAACAAACTTAGGCAAAATGGCACTTATGGGGATTATGTTGACAAGTTTGAGGAACTAAGGGCATGTATGCAGTTACTAAATCACAAGGGGTATTCTGAAGATTATTTTGTTTCAAGTTTTATCAGTGGCTTACCTGAGGAAGCACAAGCTTTTATATCCATGTTTAACCCTACTACATTGCAACACACTATTGAATTGGGCAGGAAACAGATGGAAACTCTGAGTGCAATCACCAAAAAAGTCAAGGGAATGAACAGGCCTCAGCAACATACCTTTAACAACACTAGAATGAATGACAACATCAACCCCACACAAACCAGGGGCACCACATCAAATCAGCAAAAAACCCCGATCAAGTTACTTTCAGCAAGTGAGATGGCCACAAGGAGGGAGAAGGGGTTATGTTATAATTGTGACGAGAAGTTCACATATGGCCATAGATGCAAGCAAAGGGTCACTTATATGATCATGACAGAAGAGGAAGAACTTGCTTACATGCAGATTAATCTGGAGACAGAGGAGAACCAAAAAGAAGGGGTGATGGATGAGGTACAGATGTCATTGAATACAATCACAGGAGAAGATGGCCTCACCACTATGAGGCTGTGTGGGAAATCAGCAGGACAACAACAACATGTCCTCATTGATTCAGGGAGTACTTTGAGTTTTATAAGAGAACACACTGCCAAGGAACTGGGATGTGTCATTAAGCCAGCCAAACCTATACTGGTCAGAGTTGCTAATGGTCAAAGGATGGTGAGTTCACAAATGGCTGAAAAGTTTGAATGGGACATGCATGGTCACCTGTTCACCTATAACCTCAGAGTCTTACAGCATGAAGGTTGTGACCTTATTCTTGGGGGTGATTGGCTCAAGGCTTGTACTCCCATAGAATTGGACTACAAGAAGATGATTATCACAGTAACACTGAAAGGGAAAAGGGTTAAACTACAAGCTTTAACCTCAATGACTGAGTTCAAACTAATTTCTGGGCCAACCTTATTCAAGATGGTGCATGAGCAGAATTTGGAAAATATTGAAGAGATCTTTTGGATGACTATTCCAAAACCTGTGCAAGTGTCTAACCCACAACTGGAGGGACTCCTTTACCAATTCCAGGATATCTTTGAAGAGCCAAAGGAGTTACCCCCAAGTCGAGGGGTAGAGCATCAAATAATCCTCAAGCCACTCAGTTCCCCTAAACACCAATACCCATACAGAGTGTCACATGACCAGAAGACAGAGATTGAAAGAATTATGAAAGAGCTACTGGAATCTGGATTCATACAACCAAGTCAGAGCCCTTTTGCCTCTCCAGTACTCTTAGTCAAGAAGAAGGACTCAACATGGAGACTTTGTGTAGATTATAGATACTTGAATGAGCTTACTATTAAGCATGACTATCATATTCCTATCGTTGAGGAGTTATTAGATGAATTACATGGAGCCAAATATTTTTCTAAAATTGATTTGAGGTCAGGATACTTTCAGATCCTCATGGCCCCTGAACATAGGCACCTTACTGCTTTTAACACACAGTGGGCAATATGAGTTTTTGGTGATGCCTTTTGGGCTGTGCAATGCACCAGCCACCTTCCAATCTCTAATGAACAGAATTTTTGGTGATCTACTGAGGAAGCATGTGCTTGTATTTTTTGATGACATTCTAGTGTATAGCAAAACATGGGAAGATCATCTTGACCATTTAAAGGGAGTTTTGGCCCTCATGAGAGAAAACAAGTTATTTGCCAAAAAGAGCAAGTGTCATTTTGGGCAGATAGAGATAGAGTATCTGGGACACATTATATCTTCAGAAGGAGTGTCCACAGACCCTCAAAAAGTGGCTAACATGCTTGACTGGCCTATTCCAACTACTGTTAAACAGTTGAGAGGTTTTCTTGGATTTACAGGCTATTATAGAAAATTTGTTAAGGGTTATGGGGTAATCAGCAGACCACTCACCAACCTACTGAGAAAGGATAATTTCAAGTGGAATGAGGAAGCAGAAGAGGCTTTCCACAAACTGAAGCAAGCTATGGCTTCATCCCCAGTCTTGGGATTACCCGACTTTTCGCAGCCATTCATTTTAAAGACAGATGCCAGTGGCACAGGCATAGGAGCAGCCCTTATGCAACAAGGAAGACCACTAGCCTACATGAGCAAAACTCTTTGTCCAAAGAATCAGGGGTTATCAATATATGAAAGGGAGTTCTTGGCTGTTTTGATGGCAATCCAAAGATGGAGGCACTACTTAGCAGGGCATAAATTTATTATTAGAACTGATCAACAGGCTTTGAAACACTTGCTTGATCAAAAGATCATGACCCCTGTGCAACAGAGATGGCTGACAAAACTCCTAGGGCTTAACTATGAGATTCAGTACAAAAAGGGGACAGAGAATAGAGCTGCAGATGCACTATCAAGGAAAGAAGCTACTGAAGAAAAACTGGCAACCCTAACCACTGTGGTACCAAAGTGGACTCAGCAGGTGATAAAAAGCTATGAAGGGGATCCACTATTTGAGAAAATACTTGCTGCAAATGCCATTAACCCTCAATCCTACCCAGACTATAAACTACATGAGGGAATGCTGAGGTACAAGGGAAGAGTGTGCATTGGTGAAAATAAGCCACTTAAGGAGCTCCTGCTAACAACCATACATGACTCTTCGTTGGGAGGCCATTCAGGGATACTAGGGACCTACATGAGGTTA